TTTCAAAACTACAAACAGTGATAACTTGGCTCAGAATAAAGTACTTTGAATGAAACTTTCAATATTTTTTTTTTTACATTATCTATTTTTGAGCTATTATAGCAATAATGGTCAGCTCTTTATCTAAATCTTACATAATGTATCTTTAAGAAGAGTGTATAGAATAGGACAGTTAAAAGATGCAGAGATGTGTGACATATTACTTAAACATACATTATGCAAGAGCTAAATCTGTCCATTGCAGATCTTTCTTTAGGAAAGAAATGTTATATAAACTATTAATTAGACATTAATTAACTTATCCAGACCATAATCAACTCTAGATGGCATCGCTAGCCTGCGATCTTAAGTGGATTGTGAGCGGATTTACTGCATAACTTTCCTTTCCGATTAAATGGATAATCGAGACTATGCTGTTTATCGTACTGACTTTAGTAATGATGACCGAAGCTAGGCAAAAATGTCATTCGCGTAGTGGACCAATCTGAATGAAATTTTCAGCAAATTGCCTTTACATTATCTAGTTTTTAACTATTATAGTGAGAACTGCCAACTCGTTATCGAATCTTCCATAATGTTTAAGATTACATTAGCATTTGACCATATTAAAATACTCCTAGAATAAATAAAACCACTTTACCACAATATAAGCGTTATTAATCTTCGACGAGAGGCATTTAGCAACTGGATAGGGCAATAAACTACAACACATACTTATGGAAAAACAGCTACTTATTTATTTTGGCTACGTGTCGAAGAGTATTCTCTCAACGTTATCAAGCTTTGTAACGTACAAGTGAATCCCGGCGTGTTTAAGTGATTATTTTAAGATTACATTAGCATTTGACCATATTAAAATACTCCTAGAATAAATAAAACCACTTTACCACAATATAAGCGTTATTAATCTTCGACGAGAGGCATTTAGCAACTGGATAGGGCAATAAACTACAACACATACTTATGGAAAAACAGCTACTTATTTATTTTGGCTACGTGTCGAAGAGTATTCTCTCAACGTTATCAAGCTTTGTAACGTACAAGTGAATCCCGGCGTGTTTAAGTGATTATTTTTTTTTAAGTGTAGTTTAATGGTCGAGAGAGAGACAGAGAGAAAAATGGGGTTTAACGTCCACTCTATACAAACTAGGTCATTTCGGTACTAACATATGTTTTTTTTTAAAAATTATTTCAATAATTCGCTTGCGCGTAGTTGTCTTTAGCAGTGGGAGGAAACCGGAGGACCCGGAGAAAATCCAAAAGGTTGGACAGCACGAGGGCAATATCTATACATTACGCAATGTCTTGCACGACACCATTAAACAACTTAAAATACGTCAAGCGTGTCCAATATTACAACTAGTATAAATAATGTACGCTTGGGTTCTGGACATAAAGTGACGCTCGTACACTAAGCGGAAGCCGTTGTTGGTGTCAGGTGACATCTAGGGGACGCCTCCTGCAGTCCCTCGGTCAAATATAAGATCACGATATTAGCAACCGTTGCCGTTGCCATCATTTGTTTGCCCAACCAGGGTTATATTGCGAAATGCTGAACTTTTTAAAAGCGACAGGTTTTTATTATAAATTTTAATTTGTGTGTGTATATATATTTTAAATGTTTATATGCATAAAATATTCTTTTTATTTTTAAATTAGATATACTGTAATATGGTTTTTATTTATGCATATAAAATCTTGTGATACGAAAGAACCACCATATGTTTGGCGCAATATAGCCCGATTGGAGCTGACGTGCCATAAAACCATATTTCATTTCATTTCATTCCCTCGGTCAGATCTTAATATTTAAGGACAATGTGGGTGTCAGCCATTATCAAATATGTGATAGAAATAGCACAACACATTCCAAATATAACTTTAGCACAGAGATCAGTACTGCTACGTAGATGTGTAACGAACAATTGAGAGAAAAAAACAGAAGTGAGACAAATTATGGAAAACACGAGTTATTCTTATATATAACTGCCGAAAGTGACGAGTGATAACAGATACACGGTCGAATTTCAGCTCATTATATGAGACTGCGCACTACTATGACATTCATATTAAAAAAGCGCTGCAACACTGGCTGATAAGGGAAGCGATGGGCGGGGTTAATGTGTGCGATGCTTGTCGAGATTTTACCAGGGTAGTGTCGTGGAAAACACGAGTTATCCTTATATATAACTGCCGAAAGTGACGAGTGATAACAGATACACGGTCGAATTTCAGCTCATTATATGAGACTGCGCACTACTATGACATTCATATTAAAAAAGCGCTGTAACACTAGCTGATAAGGGAAGCGATGGGCGGGGTTAATGTGTGCGATACTTGTCGAGATTTTACCAGGGTAGTGTCATGGAGGCTTTTAAAAAAAACTTGTCTATTGTGCCACACTGTAACTTCAAAAGCCTGACATTTTTCACCCGACAAACACGCGTGTTTGTGTTTTGGTGCAGTCTGGATCAACCAGTCCCTAGGCAAATTTCTAGTTAGGGATAGGTTAATAAAAGCACTGGGTGATACAGACTGCTACAAACAAAAGCAAAAGGGAATTCCGTCTTACTTTCCGGTCCGTCGAAGATACGAATAGCCAAGTGATAACGCTGTAAAATGACCAATTTATTTACATTGGAAGGTGTATAATGATCAACTAAAGTCTCGTTGGCAATAAAAATGGAGGGAAGTGTTAGAACTAATGAGTATTGTGAGATATAGCAGACGAACTATCTTCGCCGATTCAAAGCAATATGGTGGGTGATTGACTTTGTGTTATTAGTAATATACTAGTCAAGCAGTAGTAAGAAGTTTTATTTTAATCCCTTCAAGTGCCTGTGGGCAAAAGTCACCTTTCTAACATTCACTACTCACGTAACCATAGAATTGGATTGCAGGGATTTGTACTAAGGAACATCTAAATAATATTATGGTTTTGATTAATTTTTCTCCATTGCCAAAATAGTAGCTATGGTACAAATAAATTCTGAAACGCAAATTGTTTATGAAATATTGTGACAATAACAGGACATGAGGGCTAAAGATAAAGACAAAGAATGGAGAAATATGATGGCCGAAACAATATCGTTATCTTTACAAATTATTGATTCTAAGTTCATCACCCAAAAGATAGAAAGTATGCTGGTTATTTAGATATGTTAACGCAGTCATGGGCGTCACACATGGGGGGGGGGGCGACCCCGACCCCCCCCCCCCATTTGTTTTTCTGGGGGTGTCTGAATATACTTGGACTCCCCCCAAAATTTACATAGTAGGCCCTAACTCCTATTTATTTACAACAATTATTAGGAATATTTCATTTCTATCTGTAAAAAACCTGTACATATCCCAATATGTTGGTGTGATGTTTTAGTTTAAACCCCGTAAAATATGCCAAAACTGTGTTTACAGGAACTGAAACTTTACAATTTTGTGTGGGTAGCCCCCCCCCCCCCGCTCTCCCTATTGGGCTACATCAGATTGTGCCTCCGGCATCACAGATTGTCAACATTTGATATAATTTCATGTGCGCCCCCCCCCCCCCAATATACATTTCACGGCTACGCCTCTGAACGCAGCTATAGTTTAGTAAACATGTTGGTCATTTTCATTTTTCAAGGATAAATTGTTATTGTTTCAAATACACGTGAATGGAAAATTTCGAATTAGCCGACACCACAGACAAACGAATAGGCACCTATACATAAGAGGGAGTAAGGGCTAGAAAAGACACGCGCATTGGGTTCTTTAGATGAACATTTCACGATGAAGCGGTCTCCCGGGTCTAGCCACGCTGGTTAGACATTTACAGGAGTTGAGTTGAGAGAAGGAGATGTTAATTTTAAACATTGTAATGCTGACTATTGTTAACTGTTGTGACATAAAAACGTATTTTGTAAGGCCACCTTCAGTTTTTGTCAAGTTCGCCGAGATGTAAATAAGGATAGGGCACATGGTTGTTGACGAGATTGTGGTTTAGGGGTTAGCGCTAGCCTTGTTTATACATCGCGTGACCTTTGACCAAATCTGGAAGTGGGCTTAAGAAATAGATGTAACAATAATTAAGAAGGGGTTGGGTGGCCGAATGGTTATCGCATGCACGTTGGATCAAAAGTTCGGTCACTGAGTCAAGTGGAGAGAGAGAAATGGGGTTTAACGTCCACTCGACACAAACTAGGTCATTTCGGGACTAACATATGGTTTAATTTTATTTACATAATTCGCTTGCGCGTAGGGGTCTTTAGCAGTGGGAGGAAACCGGAGGACCCGGAGAAAACCCACGAGGTTGGACAGGCGACCCTACTCCTTGCCACGTACAACCGGGGATTCGAAACCACGCCAGTCGACTCAATGACAGACTTTATGATACAGTGCGCGCACGCTAACCATTCAGCCATCCAACCCCCCTTGAGTCAAGTGGAGTAGTTTGATTCGACGCTTGTACACACACACACGGAGAGAGAGGGGGGAGAGAAAGAGAGAGAGGGGGAGAGAAAGGGAGAATCATTTAAATACATTTGAAGCATACATGTATACCATACATGTATAGGTGCCGAAATGACCAAGTTTGTGTCGAGCGGACGTTAACCCCCCTCCCCCTCTCCTAGTAATTAAACCGCTAGCGGTGGACACACAGGCCGAATCAATCGGAGTCGAAATTCGCCTATTGTGTTACTTGGCCGAATGATTCTCCATAATCAAACATGTTTGTTATATTCGCCTGGTGTGTCCGAAGCATTCGGCAAGATGTAGAATTCGTTAGCCAATCACCACGCATTCGGCAGAATGTAGAATTCGTTAGCCAATCACCACTCATCATCCACTCATATCGAGAAGTCACGTCACGTAAAAGGTGATGCAATCGACAGGTGAATAAGGCGATGGTTAGTGTGTCACCCATTCGGCCGAATATAATTTGGCGCCAACTGATTAGGCCGAACAATTAGGTCAATGTTTCCACTTCAAAAAAGAAAAGACATTAGATACCATATAAATAATTCATTTAAAATCTTTATTTAATATGTAGCATCAGTTTAGCAATGTGATATTATGCACATATCATGTAGGCCTACATATTGTCATATTCCAATACTTGTACTAGAAGGCCTTTGTGTATAATTTAAGTACATAAGCATCATAAAATACATACATTTATATACATGTATACAATCAGTTAAATTCTCTTAAATTTTCCATTTTCATTCACCCTTGCGGTGAAATGAAATGAAATGAAATGGAGTTTTAACTTCCTACTTTTCTGCTCCGAACTGGGCTAATGAATACGAGCATATACCATACTGTGTGCTATGAGGGAAATTTTGCCAGGACAGCGGTGCTATGACTTACTCTTATATCAAATTCCAATTGTCAAGGGATGTTTTACGTGCATGCCAGTGTGTGCACAGGACCTAGGTTTTTCATCCCATCCAAACAACTAGACAGCTTTCCTTGTCAAGCTCTCCATCCTGCATCACTGAAAAGGAGAATCCATGCCAGAAAATCCCAATGAACTTTCTTGGCCAACACTATGATCGAACCTGCAACCTCCAGTCAAGCGAGCTAGCGCCTTACCCACTTAGCCACCATGGCTCCCGACATGAAACAGAGTTTAACTTCCTAGTTTTCTGCATTAATAACGGGGCTAACAAAGACAAATCATAAATATTGCTCAAATTTCTGACCATTTTCATCGAAGTGAATTTTGGCTTTCTTAAAATCTATTTCCAGTTTGACTATTTCACAATTTTATCATCTGCAGTGGTCTCGGTCACCCAGATGATGGACACGACATCTACATGTACAGTGTATGCCAAATGCTGAAAGTTGCAAATGTTTACATACCTTTGGAAATACTAGATGCAACTGAAGCATTTTTGGACCCATATTCGTTTTAGATTCAACTTTGACAATATTGTATTTTCAAGAGAATAAAGGTATATCAATGATCTACAGAGGGACTTTATGTCGACTCATGAATATTGATGGGATAATGTTGTATGCAACATTTCCATTAGCCTCAGTTTCACCAGTTGTCTCATTTCATTCTACTCCATTGTACCCTTGGGGGGATAATCCATAGGGTTTTCACGATTTCAAATTATCTGCCCTGGCCTTGATCATAGCTTGAGTCTGCAAACCAATGAAAAAATGAAATGAAATGAAATGGGGTTTAACATCCTACTGTTCTGCTCCTAACCTGGGCTAATGAAGACGGGCATACGCCATACAGTGTGCTATGAGGGAAATTTTGCCCGAGCAGCGGCACTATCGCCTACTCTTATATCGAATTCCAACTGCCAGGGGATCTTTTACGTGCATTCCAATATATACACGGGACCTCGGTTTTCCGTCTCATCTGAAGGATTAGACAGCTGTCCTTGTCAGGCCCTCCAATGAAAAAAACAGTTTACAAACAAGGGTTACTAAGACTCTTTAACCTCTATGTTTACCTTCACAGCTTGTTGCAACAAGATGAAAGTTACTTCCCTTTGCAATTAACGATTTATGGGATTGGTAGATAAGTATAGCACAATCATCATGGGCAGATAACTTGAATATATGTCCCCTTTCCCACAATTGATTAACCCAGAGGTAAGTAGAGTAGAATGGAACGAGACCACTGGGGATACCAAAGATGCATGTACATTAATTTTAAAGATGGCATGTATACATGGGGTGGAAAATTTTGCCATAAACCACAAGGATTTACTACAAACATGACATAATTAAACAGACATTATGCAAGAGCTAATTCTGCCTATTGCAGGTCTTTCTTTAGGCCTGAAATGTTATCTAAATTATTAATTAGACATTAATTAACTTAAACAGACCATAATCAACTCTCGATGGCATCGCTAGTCTACGATGTTTATTGGATTAGGTTCCAATTTGCTGTTCGACTTTATTCATAATTTAATCATGAAAATGAAATGGATAGTTGAGACTATGTTTTTTTATCGTACCAACTTTAGTAATGATGATCAAGGGTAGGCCGAAAATTCAATTGCTAAAATCTTGGTTCAGAGTGGATCAATTTGACTGCAATTTTCAGCCAATTCCCTTTACATTATCTATTTTTTAACTATTATAGTTATCTAATCTCACATAATGTATCTTTAACCCAGAGGTTAGTGATGTAGAATGGAACAAGACCACTAGGGATACCAAGGATGGATGTACATTAATTTTAAAGATTGCATGTATGCATGGGGTGAAAAATTGTGCCATAAACCACAAGAAATTTACTCCAAACATGACATAATTAAATGGGCACAATTGAATTTGTTATTTTCCCAACTATGAATAAAACTGTGTCTTGTGAGTTTCTTTAAATTTAAAGATCGCATGTTTGCATGGGGTGAAAAATTGTGCCATAAACCACAAGAAATTTACTCCAAATATGACCGAATTAAATGGGCACAATTGAATTTGTTTTTTTCCCAACTATGAATAAAACTGTGTCTTGTGAGTTTCTTTAAATTTAAAGATCGCATGTTTGCATGGGGTGAAAAATTGTGCCATAAACCACAAGAAATTTACCCCAAATATGACTGAATTAAATGGGCACAATTGAATTTGTTTTTTTCCCAACTATGAATAAAACTGTGTCTTGTGAGTTTCTTTAAATTTAAAGATTGCACGTTTGCATGGGGTGAAAAATTGTGCCATAAACCACAAGAAATTTACTCCAAACATGACATAATTAAATGGGCACAATTGAATTTGTTTTTTTCCCAACTATGAATAAAACTGTGTCTTGTGAGTTTCTTTAAATTTAAAGATCGCATGTTTGCATGGGGTGAAAAATTGTGCCATAAACCACAAGAAATTTACTCCAAACATGACATAATTAAATGGGCACAATTGAATTTGTTTTTTTCCCAACTATGAATAAAACTGTGTCTTGTGAGTTTCTTTAAATTTAAAGATCGCATGTTTGCATGGGGTGAAAAATTGTGCCATAAACCACAAGAAATTTACTCCAAACATGACATAATTAAATGGGCACAATTGAATTTGTTTTTTTCCCACTATGAATAAAACTATGTCTAGTGAGTGTTTCTTTGTGTGTGTATGTTTTACTACAAACATCACATTTAAAAGGCCTTTCTCCGCTGTGAATTATCACATGTTTGACTAGAGAACACTTAGCGCTGAACGATTTACTACAAACATCACACGTGAACGGCTTTTCGCCAGTGTGAATTCTCGTGTGTTGCTGTAGATTTTTTCGACTGTTGCAGGTCTTGCTACAAAAGTCACATTTAAAGGGTTTATCTTTGGTGTGGATTCGGATGTGTTCATTTAAATGGACTTTCTGAGTGAACGATTTATTACAGTAGATACAAAGGAATGGTTTCTCGCCGGTATGAAATAATAAATGTTTATGCAAACCACTTTTTTGTTTGTAGGATTTCTCACAGATGCTGCACTTGAAAGTTTTTTCGTCCGTGTGGATTCGCATGTGTTGACGGAGAAGACAGGTATCACGGAATGATTTACGACACACGTTGCACACATAGGGTCGCTCTCCTGTGTGGATCCTCATATGGATTCGTAACTTATTGCATTCATAAAACGATCTACTACAAATGCTGCAAGTGAAAGGTTTGTCACCATAATGGGTGAGCACATGTCGCATTAGAGTGCCGTGTACGTTATAGGCCTTACTACAATGATCACATTTGAATGGTTTCTGATGGGTATGCAGTTTCATATGGGTGTCTAGATACATCTGATATTGAAACCATTTGGAACATATTTCACATTGGAAACATTTCTCTTGGGGCCATTGTAAGGATTTCTCTTTATTAGACCACGGTAATTTACGTTCAATATAAATAGATTGAGTCACATGACTTCCAGAAATTCCCTGTGATTTCTCTGGATTGAAATCAACGTCTTCAGACTCTTTATTAGAGCATGGTAATTTATGTTCAACATGACTTCCAGATTGAATCACATGACTTCCAGATTGAGTCACATGACTTCCAGAAATTCCATGTGACTCCTCTGAATTGAAACCACCATCTTCAGACCCTGGTAATTGATGTCCAGAATCAACAGAGTGAGTTACATCACTTTGCGAAATTCCTTGCAACTCCTTTCGATTGAAATCACCTTTATCATTCTCTTCGTTGATGTGGCTTTCACAATGATCTTCTAATTCACTTGCCGTATTAAATTTTTCATTGCACATGTTACACTGATGTAATGTTTCAAACTCAAACTCATCTGTTTTCTCTTTCTTAACATGTGTTTTCACATGGTTTTCTAGATCACTGTAATCCTGAAAACTTTTATCACACGCAACACACTGGTACATGTATGTGTCATTATTTATAGAATGAGTCTTTTTGTAGTTTCCGAAGTCACCATTAAGTTGGAAAATGTCATTGTTCTCAACAACGCTAGAATCATTCCCATTTATAAAATGAATCGTGTTCTGGTTTTCCAGATTAATGTGAAATCTTTTGTTTTCTATACTCTTCTCATTAGTACTGTCAGTCCCATTTAAAAAATGAATTTTCTTATGATTTTCCAGGTCACTTTTAAATTTAAAAACCTCATTGCATACAGCACACTGGTGAAATGTACCTTTATCAATCTCAACATCACCATTAGACTCATTTATAGAATGAATCGTCTTGTGGTTTTCTAGATTGCTGCGACAATTAAAGGTTTTTTTACGCACAACACACTGAAGAAATCTTTTGTTGTCTGCACTCTTCTCATCAGCACTCTCGGTCCCATTTGAAAAATGAATTTTCTTATGGTTTTCTAGGTCACTTTTAAGTTTAAAAACCTCATTGCATATAATACATTGATGAAATATCTCACTGTCTTCGCTATTCTCAACATAATTCCCATTTATCAAATGTATCTTGCTATGGACTTCTAAGTCACTGTGCTGTTGAAATATCTCATTACATTCAACACACTGATGAAATGTGTTAACATCATTAGTTTCCTGTAATATATAAAACAATGCCACTTTACGTAAGAGCTAAACACTGTAACCCAGGTATCATTTAATCTTGTGTATTTAGCACTAATTTCTTTCACATTCGTTTAATATCCAATCTTTGTTTAAAAATTCGTACAAACTGTTTAAAATCACCATAAATCGTTTAATTTGTACTTCTGTCCAGTTTAATTGGACACTCATTATCAAAATTAATCAGTCAGCTTTAAACTGGACACAAGTACAAATTAGATGATTTTTGGTGATTTTAAATGATTGTTACGAATTTTAAAACAAAGATTGGATATTAAACGAATGTGAAAGAAATTAGTGCTAGATATACAAGATTAAATGATACCTGGGTTACAGTGAAATCTGCATTTTGCAGAAATTTATTTTGGCTTCAAATGTTATATAAAATATAAACTATTATTTAAACATTTACATGTATGACAGCTCTCTATACTATAGGATGACTCCGATTTTAAGTAGATTAGAATGCTTTGGCCATTTAATGACTTAATTTCAAAATGGAGAAGCAAGAATTAACTTAATTTTTTTTTTTAAATCTTTTTGTTGTTTGTTAGTTGTATTTTACGTCCGCTTCCACAATTAATTAATTAATTGGTATTTGAGTCGTGCTAGTTCCTGTCCGTTGCAGGTCACCAAAGAAGGTTTAAAAGTTTCTACTTAACAATTTACCCATGAGTCAGATGTAGTCTAAAATTATTCCATGTAATTAAACATACATTATGCAAGAGCAAAATCTGCTTATTACAAGTCTTTCTTTAGGCCTGAAATGTTATCTAAATTATCAATTAGACATTAACTTATCCAGACCATAATAAACTCTCGATGTCAAGGCTAGCCTTCGATGTTGGCTGGATTAGATTCCTATATGCCGCTAACGGCTATTGATAATTAAATCAATAAAAGTGGATAATCGAGACTATGCTGTTTATATTAATGATTTATTTTTAGTAATGATGCAAAAATTTCACCGGCTTGTTTCTCGGCTCATAGTGGATCAATTTGACTGAAATTTTCAGCAAATTACCTTTACACTATCTAGTTTTTAACTATTATAGCGAGAACTGCCATCTCTTTATCTTATCTCCCATAATGTATCTTTAAGTAGGCCTATGATTGAATATTTATCTATATGAAGGACTATAGGCCTATACATTTACATGTATATCAGTGTTGTACGAATAGTTTGATATCTAGGCTGGTTGTTATTATGTAGGGTCAATTTGCTATTTTATTAACTATGCTTTTGAACTTTTTGGTTAAAATAAGTGGGATTTGTATCTCCAAAGATTACACAATCGGTAAGAAATTAATAATATTTTTCACCTTATTTTCATAAAATGAAATGTTGTTTAACAAACATGTAACATCCTACTACTGACATTTTGAACCGACTGGGCTAACGAAGAGAGACATGTACACCATGCAATGTGCTATGAGTGAAATTTTGCCCAGACAGCGCTGTAACATGTACATGAGACTTCTGTTTTTCGTCATATACGTCGTTCTGTACCAACCTTTCCGTTCTACACCACTGAGCAGGGGTAGCCAACCCAGAAACCTTCTCGGTCATGAGTAGGATGTAAATTTAATTAATACAGACAGGACGGGTGAACCACGTTTCCCGTTGTTTTTACAACATTATTCATGTATTGGTGTGTCTACTGCGCTCAAGAGATTAAATGAATAGATGGCGAGAACTTACCATTTCCATTGTTATAGATAGTTAGTGTGTACTACGAAAATATCAAAATTTATGTCATAATACTCGTCTTGAAAAAAAGCCAACTTCAATGAGTCGCCATCTTTAATATTATATTTTGTTGTACATATAATTTGGACTTGGACCAATACCAACCTGAGTAATTCGTAATTCTCATCCTTCAGTCTCCACAACCGTGATATCGTAAATTTACATACCATATAATAAAATTTTTAATAAATCATGTCTCTACCACAAAAAATACAGTTACCTTGTAATATTGCAGATCCTGTCAGATTTACAGTTTTTGAGAAGTGTGAAGCGAGATTACTGAATATGTTAACCTAGAACAAAGTGTCTGACTGTTGTTTTCCCAGCATTTTTGATGGCTAATTTGATTTTGGTTTTTTTTTTAGTGGGGGAAGGGAATGTATATTTTTACCACTTTCTCTAAACATCCAAAGATGAGACATTCCACACATTTGCAGCCCCAAAATAATGTACATCCATTGGCTTGTACATAAAAGACCCCATGACAACAATTAAATGGAAACTTGATACGAAGAGGAAAAAACACCACTGTCTGGGCAAAATTCACTGCTCACGTAACCATAGAAATTGAAATTATCAATTAATTGTCTTAAATTAGTAAGTGCAGGAGGACCGCACTATACACAAATCAAAACTGACGAAACAAACTTGTGGACAAGACAAACAAGTCAACAATGAGGTTGTGTCCCCCCTCCTCCAACTGCCAAGGGATTTTCTGGCGTGGTTTCTCCTGGTCAGTGGTGTAGGATGGAGGGCCTGGCAAAGTACAAAGTATAGTCGTTTGAATGGGACACAGACTAGTAGATCATTTCGGGACTAACATAAGGTTCAATTTTATTTCAATAATTCACTTGCACGTAGGGGTCTTTAGCAGTGGGAAGTAACCAGAGAACCCACCGAAAACCCACGAGGTTGGACAGGCGACCCAACTCCTTGTCATGTACAACCAGGGAATCGAAACCACGCCAGTTGACTCAATGACAGACCTTATGATACAGCGCACACACGCTAACCATTCGGCCATCCACCACCCCTATTTAAAGTTAAAATGAACCTCACTCAATAAAAGGACTGACAATAGATACTTTATTTGATATTCTGGCAATGTTACTTGACATTTGGCCGTTTCTTGTCAAAACTTGACACACTTAAAATTTCACTCCGAATAAAGTAATTTGAATGTAATATATTCATTTTTCATTTATAGTTAGTTCTTCATCTAAATCTTACATAATGTATCTTTAATATAACTATTATAACAAGAACAGACCTAAAGGTATAACTATTAAATTAAACAATATTTTTAAACAGAACACTGAACAATAATTTCTAACCGATGTATCTTACTTAATCTATCATTTTCATCTGAATTTTAAACATACATTATGCAAGAGCTAAATCTGTCTTTTGCAGGTCTTTCTTTAGGCCTGAAATGTTATATAAACTATTAATTAGACATTAACTAACTTATCCAGAACATAATCAACTCTCGATGGCATCACTAGCCTGCGATATTTACTGGATTAGGAACCGATTTGCTGCTCAACATTCATTCATGATTTAATCATGAAATGGATAATCGAGACTATGTCGTACCAACTTAGTAATGATCATCGAGGCTAAGCCAAAAATTCAATCGCTAAATTCACGGTTCAGAGTGGATCAGTTTGACTGAAATTTTCAGCAAATTCCCTTTATATTATCTAGTTTTTAACTATTATAGTGAGAAGTGCCAGCTCTTTATCTAATCTCCCATAATGTATCTTTAAGGGAAAACATGTTCTTATAATAATCTATGAATGACGTTTGGCGATTGAACATAATATTATATAACACAACACAGTTCTATGAAAAACATTTCAACAAGAGAGGGAGAAATGGGGTTTAACTAGGTCATTTCGGGACTAACATATGGTTGAATTTTATTTCAATAATTCGCTTGAAGAAAAACCACAAGGCTTGACAAACGGCCCTACTCCTTGTCACCTACAACCAGGGAATGTTTCAACAAAAGAAACCTTGTCAATACATTGTATGTAATATAGTGATCCATGTTGTCAGACAATCCTTCCAAAAAATCTGATGCAGGAGTGAGTTTTTGAATTTTGTGTAATTATTTTGTGAAAAGGATCACTGCTGGGTTGAATGACTTCTCATAAATATCACATTTCATGGTACTACATTTACCTCTTCATGTTGTTTATTGTATGATTATCCAGTAATAGGAACGATTATCCAGTAACATTTATCTCATCATGTTGTTAATAGGAACGATTATCCATTAACATTTATCTCATCATGTTGTTAGTAGGAATGATTATCCAGTAACACTTATCAGGGTTGCAAACTTGATAAAGAAGTCTATGGCACATCTTTGGATTCCTTCAAATTTTTTAGAGTTGAATGTACTTCCAGTGACCGGGGAGAAATATTTACGTGCAGTAATTTAATAAACTGCTTTTATTATTTTTTTTAAAATAAAAACAGGTCGTAACACAACATAGTTCTATGGATAACAATCACATAGAACATATTCACACGAATTTAACCGTGTTGAAATGTTGTGTGTAGGACCTATATATCAGAGAGGTTTCGCAACTTAACAGTTACACTTACATTCAGTAACGGATTATCAGTGAGGCTGAGAAGGCTACAGCCTCAGGGCCAAAGATTTTGTAAAAAAAATTTTTTTAGACTTGTCTGATACGATTAAAAACGCATAGACAATGAATGTTAGGGGGGTGGGGTTAAGGCCCAACGGGAATCAACATAGGCCCTGACCCAAAATTAATTAGGCCCACAACATTTTAAATAGGCCCTTTTGTTTGGAGATCTGATCTTATTTTTTAAACGTAGGTCTACATACGTTAAATCCTTGTAAGTTTTCGGTTATGTCTTGCTTAATATATTCATATTGTATCCACGTGACGTCATTTATGGGCATATAAAGTTACATTACCAATATCAAACAACTTTGGCTTAGTATAGTCTAAGACGTCAGACTAGTTATGACGCGATTGTAGGCCCCAGGATAACCTCAGTATTATAACGAATCCCGTTTTTAATGTTAGCAACTACCTTGGCTCTAACTTTAAAAACTAAATAGGCCCTCCAGCAACTGCCGCCTCAGGCCTTGGTGGAGCTTAATCCGCCACTGCTTACATTTAGAGAAGCGAAAGTGTAACTGTACATTATGACGTTTCGCTAAATTCACACTTACATTTTTACACTTAGTAGGTGGCGACACAAACTTGGTCCACAATCTTGATAGGTCTTCATCACAGATAGATTGTTAAAGATGAGATTAGTAAAGCATGTACATGTTTTGTCTCAGCCTCTTCTTGTTTTATATACATGAAGGAGAGGGTCTTCTCTGTGTGGATTTAGTTTGTGAAAACCACAATTCAGAGAAAAATTATAGACTGGAGCATAGATATTAAACAAGGTTTAGCTATAACACAACACAGTTCTATGGATAACAATCACTATATTATATACACACTACTTTTCGACAAGATTTCACTGGTCGTTACCAAGCGTACAAATTACAAAATTTTGTAACTTGTAAGCTTGATAACGACCAGTGAAATCTTGTTGAAACGTTGTGTGTATATAATATAGTGATTGTTATCCATAGAACTGTGTTGTGTTATATTATGTTCAATAGCTAAATGCCATTCAAAGATTATATAAGGTTTGGCTAAGTGTTGTGAACTTACAGTTATGGAGGCTGCTTTCCATAAGTCACACTGTTGACAGGCCGTTCACTTCATACGTCACAAAAACTGATGACGTTTAACGGTCTAAACGTAAATGTAAGTGTAAAGTTGCGAAACCTCTCTAATGTAGTTACTTATCTTTTATTTAAATGATTTATATCTACAGTATCATGACATCCATGACATCTTTTATCAGATTGGATTTTTACTGACAGATATCAACCCATTAACCTGTATCACGCTTCACGAACCTCAATCACTTTTAATCATGCACTCCGAGGAAAGACGCAAACATTGATTTCAAATCAATCGGATGATCACTTTAGCCTCTAGAGTGTCCATATTATTTTTCAAATCAGATGACAACTTTAGACTCTAGATCATAAACCTTGACGCAAAATTTCTACTGGTTTGGTCATGGGGAATTCCCTTATGCTCCATCGGTATACATGTATCGATTTTATGTCTCTGGTCATGGCTTCAATTCTCAACGCGAGCTACCTGTCACATAAACTAACTTGCATATATTTTCAAAACAAAAATGACCATTATAAAGGTCAATCATTTTTTGACAAATTTCTTTTTTCGATGTACCGGGATGATTAGTTGACTTAGAATTCTCCCTATTGCTACTTTGGCCCTTTTTTCACGCCTATTGGCGTTGGACAGTTCTTGTTTTGTCTCCTCCAATTGTCTTCTCATATCTTGATATTTTGTTTTAAATTCATGCATACTACAAGTATAGGAATGGTCAGCTTTCGGGTTCGGATCCTTGGTCTGAGTTGCAATGTTACGGTAGGATTTTGTACTCTGATAATTAGTCAGAGCTGTTCCGGTAAGGTCAGAGTTTGTACTCTGATTATTAGTCAGAGTTGCACAGGTACGGTCAGAGTTTGTACTCTGATCATCAGTCTGAGGTACACTAGTATGGTCAGAATTTAAACTCTGATTATCCTTCAGAGTCACACAAGTATTGTCCGAATTTGCACTATCAGTCAGAGTTGCATCTGTATGGTCAGAGTTAAAAATCTGATTATCCGTCGTAGTTGTAATACAATTGTCAGCTTTTGTACTCTGATTATCCTTTAAATTTTTACTATGATCAGATTTTGTACTCTGATTTTCAGTCAGATTTTTACTTGTATATGAATGGTCGCATTTTGTACTCTGATCTACGGTTGGAGGTGTACTTACATAATTGGATATTGTACTCGGAGTCTTCGTCGGAGTTGTATTAGTATATGAATGGTCAGCTTTTGTATTCTGACCCTTGGTTGGACTGGCACTAGTATGGTCAGCTTTTGTACTCTGATTCTTGTGATACTGGGCAAGAGCTGTACTAATATGATCCGATTTCGAAATCAGAGCCTTGTTCGGATTTGCACCAGTGTGGTTGGATTTTGTACTTTGATTATCGTTCAGAGTTGTACCAGAATTGTCAGATATCGAACTCTGATACTTGGTCAGAGCTGTATCAGTATAGGTATGATCAGATTTTATACTCTGGGTCTTGGTTGGCGTTGTTCTGGTTAGTGCGATTACATCATCCTGTGAAACTCTTTGAGTACTGGTGTGTGAATCTTTTTTCTAGATTGAAAAAATACAAAATGACGGAATAGATAATCAACATGTCATTCTTGTTTAAATTATTATGAAATGAAATGGGGTTTAATGTCCCACTGTTCTGCTTGGACTGGGCTAATGAAGATGGGCATACGTCATACAGTGTGCTATGAGGGACATTTTGAGCCTAATCTTATATCAAATTCCAACTGCCAAAGGATCTTTTATGCACACACCAATGTGTACACAAGACCTCGGTTTTTCGTCCCATCGAAATAACCACACGTTGTCCGTCCCTTGTTAGGCCCTCTGTCCTATACAGATGACAAGGGGGTACTAGGTCGGAAAATCCAGATGAACTTTCGTGGTCAACACAGGGATCAAACACGGAACCTCCTTGTTAACGAGCCAGTACCATACACTGTAACGTTGATATTGTTGACTAAGCAACAAATAACTGTTATAAATGAAAATATATGACACTAATAGATCAAAGTCATCAGTTTATATACATAATGTGTATTAGTTTGTTAAAATTGTTAGTAAACAGGCAGTAGTTATTAAGAGGTGTTTTGTCACTAAGGTGTTAAAACTGCGAGTATTGAATGATATACATCACTATTGGTTAGGTTTATGTATTCAATAGTGATAGGTGTTATAAATAATGACAACTGTATAAATTCTAACCACTTTCTATACATACTAAACATTAGTTTAGAATACTGACCACTTATGATTTAATGACAAAAATTGTCATTACTAAAAGGCCTAGGGGGAGTTGGATGGCTGAATGGTTAGCGTGCGTGCACTGTATCAAACAGTCTGTCATTGAGTCAACTGGCGTGGTTTCGAATCCCCGGTTGTACGTGACAAGTAGTAGGGTCGCCTGTCCAACCTCGTGGGTTTTCTCCGGAGCCTCCAGTTTCCTCCCACTGCTAAAGACCCCTACGCGCAAGCGAATTCTTGAAATAAAATTGCACCATATGTTAGTCCCGAAATGACCTAGTCTGTGTCGAGTGGACGTTAAACCCCATTTCTCTCTCTCTCTCACTAAAAAGCCTAGATTCATTAGTCAACGATATCAGCTTTCATGTGATACTCACTGACATACTACACACTGAGATCCATCTACTTCATACTTCGAGAATTGATCTCTGCCCTAAATGGCCGCCATATCCAAAAATTAGCATACCGTTTCACATTATACAAACAAAGACTACATAGACATTTTTAATATTTTTAAGCAGAATTAACACTTAAAACATTTTTGAAGTATACTTCATGGTTTTGACTAAAATAGTCGATTTAGGACTTAACACTGTAACCCAGGTATCATTTAATCTTGTGTATCTAGCACTAATTTCTTTCAGAAGTAGGTCTATAAATTAAACGATTTATGGTGATTTTAAACAGTTTTTACAAATTTTTAAACAAAGATTGGATATTAAACGAATGTGGAAGAAATTAAGGCTAGATACACAAGATTAAATGATACCTGGGTTACAGTGTAAAATGTCAGTCAGGGCTAGCCACGAATAAATTGATGGCGAGCAGATGACTGCTCCCGCAAATTTAGGTTTGGGCGAGCAAGGCGAGCAATAAAAATTGCTCACGCAAAATGTTGTTTGCGTGAGCACACATTTTGTAACACTGTTTCAATTTAAAATCATAAGAAAATTGCTATTCCTGGCACAAAGTTTGCAGTAAACATGTGTGACCATCGCTTTCTGTTTTTGACAGTCATACGTACTCTTCTTTATTAAAACCAATTTCCGTATGGATTTCTTCACCCCACGAAATAAATGTGGATAGGGCAATCAGGTTGCCTTTGGCCATTATTACGCTTAGATTGAAAATTATACGACTGCACAATGGAATAAAAACCGAAGTTCTGATAAAATAGGAAATAACGATAAATATTAGTTTGAAACGTGTTCATTTAGCGTGAATGCCAAATGCCGGATGTTAACATTCTTTACTTTAGACTCGATTATCACGTGTTTGTTACTGGTGTTCGTAGGAAAACCAGTCATGACGTTCAGGTCTAAAGTGTATTTTTAGTAACATAAGTTGCGAGTAACTTTATTAGCCAATCAAATTTCAGGAGGAAATGCCGCGTGCAGCTGGGTGAATCTCAGTTTGACAGACGAATTTATGACGTTATTGACATTGTTGGGTTAGTTTCGGCAATAAACTTGTCAATATTTTGATTATTTTTACAGGGTTTTCTTAAAATTTTGCGCATGCAACGAACCGCTCGCGTAAATGTAGATTTACGCGAGCACAGCGCGAGCGCGAGCAGTTGCTCGCGTCTCGTGGCAAGCCCTGTCAGTCAACTAGCTTAGCTTAGTGTCTGTTCTCAAGCGGAGCTAACTGTAGACATCTTTATATGTTGGTATTATATATGTACGGTACCTTTCGTTTCGGCTTCTTGTTTGAAAAAAATATTGATGGTACGCTGTTGGGATCAAGATGCTTATATGCAGCATGTCTTGAAAAAAAAAATTCTTCTGATTTAAAATGTTCTGAGCACAATGCTACATAGCTATTTTTTGGTTCCCATAATTTATTAGTAGTTGGGTCTCTTCTGTTGATGGCTAGCAGCCACTTCAGTCGTCTCTCTGGTGCTTTTGGAATACTGCACATGAAAATAAAATGGATATGTTAAACATATATTATGTAACAGCTAAATCTGCCTACTGAAGGTCTTTCTTTAGGCCTGAAATGTTATCTAAATTATAAATCAGTCATTAATTAACTTATCCAGACCATAATCAACTCTTGAAGCCATTGCTAGCCTGCGATATTCAGAAGATTGGAATACATCTTTTGGAAAATAATTAAACATCAAAATGGATAATTTAGGCTTTGTTTTTGATCATACTGACTTTAGTACTGATGATCGAGGCTAGCCTAAAATTCCAAAAGCTTATATCTGGGTTCAGAGTGGAGCAATTTGAAATTTCAGCATATTCTATTTGTGTTATCTATTTTGTAACTATTATAGCGACTGTGAACTCTTTATCTAATCTCCCATAATGCTCCTTCAATTGTGATTTACAACAGTTGGGTCCAGTGCCTGTGGGGCGTGTGGGCAAGGATCTATTTGGTGGATGGCAGCCATATTGTTACCTTTCTGGTGATTTTGGAATACTGCACATGAAAACTAATCATACATATATTATATAGATGTTGATATTTTTCTGTTCCCAACTACAGGCCATATATCCGGGCCTGCCACTATTGACGATAATAGTTAGTAACATGTCACATGTGGCAAAATAAGGACAGCGCAGCCTACATAAATATTAATATATAGGCCTATATATATATGGAACGCATCCTTTAATTAAGGCCTGTCGACTTCTCGCAGTTTTCAGTTAAGGATGATGACTGACTTCCGACTTATTTATATTTTTTCATACTGGTAAATTTATTTATGAAACTTTCTGTAGCCTACGGTTCATTTTCAACAATTGAAAAACCAGAACTGTTTGTGTTACACTGACAACACTGTTAGTCATAACATAAGTGCTACAAAAAACAGACTTTAGACTAGAGTAGGCCTACTTGGTAGGCCTATACGTTGTTGTCGCGGTACCCCATTTATTTTTTCTTGCTCATTTTTATTGGGTTCAATTGCAGGCAAGTTATTATTATACTACAACTTGCAAAAATATCTTGATTCTGATTGTTTATTTTGCCACTACATGTTTGTTGAATTACCGAAACGGATATCGAGTCAGACAATCGATCCGTAGACAAGAGCTAAAAATACCGTGACATTAATCTTATCTTACCAATGGAAAGTTATTCCCTTTTTCTTATTTTCTGGGCTGTCACGATTTACACAATTCTCTGCGCAGCAAGACCGGACCATGTTGAAAAATTACAACATCACGAAACTATAATCATGGGCCGTATATAGATACGGTCCATGCTATAATAAACAAACAGTAGCTTTTTTGCGGAATAACTCTCACCCTGGCAGGAAGTGACGTTCTCGCAAGTACGCAGACGCCCTTTTCGATATAGGTGACTAAACTCGAGTAACTCACAATTCGTATTACCAGACGGACTTCCGGTATGTTGATTTCGATTTCTGACCCCATATCACATTCACTTACTATAATAATTTTCAAAAATAGTTGAAAACACCACCAAAGCCTTGCAGTTCCAGCTTTCTAACTATATTACTATGCCTTCCAGCTTTAAAAGTTTGGGGAATCTCTCAGCCTCTCGCAAAGAATATGGGCCCCATCCACCATACATGGAATGCCCATAAAATTAACTTATAGCTGGAAATCAAAGAAGAGTATGTGCACATGCCACTGTCCTTGCCAAATTTTCTTACCTGATATAGTGCATGTAACCATAGAGATAACATATATATTTCGATACATCTTTCTCAATATGCCAGTCCAACTTCCTAGGTTTTCTCCAGTTTCCTCCTGCTAAAGACCCCAATTAATGTGCAAGCATATTTTTGAAGTAAAATTTAGCTGTGTGTTAGTCCCCAAATGATGTCGATTGAACGTTAAACCCTATTTCTCTCTCTGTGAAGTATGCTTCCTGTGTTGACAAAATATTCCATTTGTTATTTGTTATTTGTTTCTTTTTTGCAATGTCTATATTTCTGTCTTGTCCGCAGGTTTATCTTGTAGATTTTTGTTTTGCGTGTAGTGTGGCACGCCTGCACTTACTATTAAAGAAGATCTTCAGCTCTTGCAATATTATATTAATAGTGTTAAAATAGATGTTTTATCTAAGTTGGAGGGGTTGTATGGTCAAGTGGTTAGCACGTGCGCGCTGTATCATAAGACCTGTCATTGAGTCAACTGGCGTGGTTTAGAATCCTCGGCTGTACGTGACAAGTAGTAGGGTCGCCTGTCCAACCTCGTGGGTTTTCTCCGGGTCCTCCGGTTTCCTCACACTGCTAAAGACCCCTACGCGCAAACGAATTATTGAAATAAAATTAAACCATATGTTAGTCCCGAAATGACCAAGTTTGTGTCGAGTGGACATTAAACCCCATTTCTCTCTCTCTCTCTTTTGTCTAAGTTGATTGTAATTATAGGTCTACATTAGAGCATCTACATATCATTTGTTTTTTCCAACCATTTTGGATCGATATTCCTTTTAGAGATTCAACTCTCTCAGTATTGTAGTTTAGCTTGGATTGGGAGGGGGTCTCGTGGGTTTCACGCGTGCACTACATCTTTATTACCCCAGTCGGAGCAGAACAGTAGGACGTTAAACCCCATTTCAGAAATGAAATGAAATGAAATGGGGTTTAACGTCCTACTGTTCTGCTCCTGTGCTGGGCTAATGAAGACGGGCATACACCATACAGTGTGCTATGAGGGAAATTTTGCCCGGGCAGCGGCACTATCGCCTACTCTTATATCGAATTCCAACTGCCAAGGGATCTTTTACGTGCATTCCAATGTATACACGGGACCTCGGTTTTTCGTCTCATCCGAAGGACTAGACAGCTGTCTTGGTCAGGCCCTCCGTCCTGCATCACTGACAAGGGGGAACCACGCCGGAAAATCTGGATGAACTTTCTCGGCAAATGCAGGGATCGAACACCCGACCTCCAGGCTAGCGAGTCAGCCTCTTACCCACTTAGCCACGTGATCCCTTTATTTCAGAAATTCCACTTTCACAATAATGTAGCTCTCAAGGGATTAGGGTGTGATCTCGTGGTTTAACACGTGCGTATGAAATCACAAGCTCTGTCAATGAGTCAAATGGCGTGGATTCGATACCCTGGTTGAAAGTGACAAAGGGTAGGGTCGTCGGTACAGCCTTATGGGTTTTCTCTGTGTCTTCCCGTTAACGCCCACGGGTAAAAAAAATTAAAATAAACTATGTGCAAGGGAATTATTGAAACAAAATTGAACGATATGTAAATACCGAAATGACCTAGTTCATGTCGAGTGGATAATGAACCCTATTTCTCTGTCTCCCCTTTGAATATGTGCTTGACAGAGAAATGAATTAAAATCAAATGGGGTTTAATGTCCTACTGTTCTGCTCCGACTGGGCTAATGAAGAAGGGCATATGCCATACAGTGTGCTATGAGGGAAATTTTGCCCGGGCAGCAGCACTATGGCCTACTCCTTGATCCTCATCGGCAAGTCTATTGAAAGAGTTATTGCGTCTCAAATTTCAAATTATTTGTCTGAAAATGATTTACACGAATCACTTCAATATCCTTACAAAAGAGATTACAGCACAGAGACGGCTGTACTTAAAATTAAAAACGATAGTGACCTGGCACTGGATAAGAATCTAGCTGTGCACTTTTGAATCTCAGTGCTGCATTTGATACTATAGATCATAGTATTCTATTTCAAAGGATGAATTCAGATGAGACGAAAAACCGAGGTCCCGTGTATACATTGGAATGCACGTAAAAGATCCCTTGGCAGTTGGAATTCGATATAAGAGTAGGCGATAGTACCACTGCCCGGGAAAAATTTCCCTCATAGCACACTGTATGGTGTATGCCCGTCTTCATTAGCCCAGCATAGGAGCAGAACAGTAGGACATTAAACCCCATTTCATTTCATTTCATATCATTTTCAAAGGTTGAAATGTTCAGTGTTCAATAGGCAGGCTAAAAATGTTGGTTATGTGACCTATGAACCTATGTCCCCAGTTCCCCAAATCAGTGGTATCATACAGAAAATACATCGTCAAATGAAAGCTATGTTCGAGAATATGCTCTAATCTTAATACTGATGCCTGCCAGAGTGTTGTTAGAGCATTAGTAACATCTCATATGGACTATGTAAATTTACTTCTATAAGACGCACCAGAAACAGCTTTAAACAGTTTACAATTAGCGCAAAACAATGCTGCACGTGTCATAACTAGAATAGGAAAAATTGAACATATAACAGCTAAGTAACATTGGCTCCCACTTCGAGTCAAGTTTCAATTTAAAGCTCTTGTGAATGTGTTTAAATCAATTTATTCTAACACTGCACCCAGTTATTTATAAGAACTCTTTGATTTCTATACTCCCCGGCGATCCAACCTTCGTTTTTCAAGTGATCGTAGGATATTGAGGATCCCTTAATATAATAAACGTTCTGGTGAATAAGCTTTCTTCGTCCCAGCAGTTAAAATGTGGAATGATCTTCCAAAAACTCTCCTGTTCCATCCAGAACTTTAAGACTTATATGTAACTTAAAAACATATTTATTTCAAAAATGTTTTAGAACTGTTTTGTTCTGAATGCACTTAAAAACATGAATGTGTAATGAAACGCTATATAAATTGAGCTATAATAATAATAATAATGATAAAAAATCCTGATGAATTTTCTTGGACAATGCAGAGCGAGAAGCGTGACAGAACTTCCTCCCTTACATGTATATAAATCTTCAAACAATAGCGTCATTGCTTGACAGAACACCCTCTTTTATCATTCTTCAAACAACAGCGTCATCGCTTGACAGAACTCCCTCTCGGATATGTATCTTTAAATGTCCTGCTAATGTTCGATTTCGATTAAACGCTTTCCCACAAACGCGGCATTCAAAAGGTTTTTCCCCGGTGTGAATCATGGAATGAGTCTGTAAATGACCTTTCTGAATAAACACCTTTTGACAAACATCACATTTAAATGACTTCTCTCCGCTATGATAATTTGAATGCAACATAAGCCGGCTGTATTTGTTGAAAGTTTTGTAGCAAATGTTACACTGAAAGTAGATTCCTTTATGAATTTTTAAATGTTGATGTAAATAAAAACTGTGGCTAAAAGATTGGCTACAGACATTACAGTTGAAACAATCATCTACAGCATGTATGCTGTTATAGTGCTCTTCAAGGATTCCATTGGCACTGAACAGCTCATCACAAATTTCACATAGGAGAGGCTTATCATCATGAACACTCTGATGCAGTTCAAGACTTTTTTTGCTGCAAAATGATTGGTGGCAACCATAGCAATTAAAAGGTCGCTCCCAATGGGTTTTCATGTGTCTCTTAAAGTTGGTTTGAAATTTGATTTGTTTGTCACAAATTTCACATTTATAAGGTATCACTCCACTGTGGGTTATCAATTTATGATTCTGAAGGCTCTCTTTCTTTTTGAAAGTTCTATCACACTGATCACAATTAAATGGCTTCTCACCCGTATGTGACAGCATGTGGGCAGTAAGATTACACTGAAAACTAAATGATTTACTACAAACATCGCATTTAAAAGGCTTGTCACCCGAATGATGTATTTCGGTGTGTGTTTCAAAGCTGCTCCTTTTCATAAAAACCTTTTTACAAAAGTCACAATTAATGGCCTTTCCAGAATGCTGGGTTCTCTTGTGTGATCTTAAACTGCATTTGTTTGTAAACGACTTATTGCACATGTCACATTGAAAAGTTTTCTTTTTTCTTGATGAAATATTTTGCGTACCTGGATCACCGTGTATTTTACAATGCTCTACTAAGTCCGTGTATAATTCAAACATTCCATAACACAGTTTACATTGATGTATTGCTTCAACATCATCAGCTACCTCTTCTTTAACAACATTTCCATGTGTTTTGCAATGAGTCTCTAATTCAGAGTAAACTTCAAACGCTTTCCCACAAAACTTACATAGATGAAAACCTTCTGAATCACTGGTTTTCTCCTTTTTAACATATACACAACAATTTTCATCAGTTTTCGTTTCTTTAATATGTATTTTACTATGATTTTCTACATAAGTTATTCTATCCTCGAGGTTTATATGGCAGGCTCCACCTAATTCATCAGTTTTCTCCACTTTGATATGTATTTTTTTATGAACTTCTAGATCACTGTACTCTTGAAAAATCTCATCGCATACAACACACTGATGAAACGTGTTGACATCATTAGTTTCCTGGAATACATAAAAATTATAACATCGTTAGTTTTCTACAAGAACAATGAACATTTATTGAAACATGTACATGACTATCATACATATACTCTAGATCGCTAGATTTAGTGACAGGATTTTCATAATGAAATTTAAACATAAATTATGCAAGAGCTAAATCTGCCTATTGCGGATCTTTCTTTAGGCCTGAAATATTATCTAAATTATTAATTAGACATTAATTAACTTATCCACACCATATTCAACTCTCGATATCATTGCTAGCCTGTGATATTTACTAGATTATTATCTGATTTGCTGCTCAACTTTCTTTCATGATTTAATCATGAAATGGATAATCGAGACTGTTTTTTATTGTAGGCCTACCGATTTTAGTAATGATGATCGAGGATAAAATCGCTGAAATCTCAGTTCAGAGTGGATCAATTTGACGAAATTTTCAGCAAATTGCCTTTACATTATCTAGTTTTTAACTATTATAGTGAGAACTGCTAGCTCTTCATCTAATCTTCCATAATGTATCTTTAGGCTTTATTAGGTGATATTGTCAGAAAATATGGTCTCAGCTTTCATTTGTATGCCGATGATACTCAATTATATATTTCATTTACACCTAATTGTCCATCTTCTTTCAATTTATCAGAATTGCAACTTGAGAACTGTATAAGTGAAATTAGAAGATGGATGTCATTCATAAAATTGAATGATGATAAAACCGAATATTTGTTATTAGGCTCAAGGCATCAATTAAGTAAATTTGCACATGATAACCCCCCTGTTGTAATTGGTAATTGTGATTTATTTTCATCTTATTCTGCTCGTAATATTGGGGCAATCTTTGATAGTTTTATGCTTATGGGAGCTCAAGTAAATAATATTTGTAAATTGTGCTATTTTAATATCAGAAATATAGGTAAAATACGTAAATTTGTAACTGTAGAGGCCACTAAGTCACTTGTTAATTCTCTGGTCACTTCTGGATTAGATAACTTTAATTCACTTTTAGTTGGTTTACCTTTTAAGCTGATAGATAAATTACAAAAAGCACAGAATACTGCAGCTAGACTTGTTACTTTAACTAAGAAATGTGACCACATAACTCCTGTTTTATATAATTTATACTGGTTACCTGTTAAATATCGAATTGATTTTAAGATTTTATTACTTACTTTTAAATGTTTAAATAATTTAGCTCCTGTTTACCTCTCGTTTCTTTTTTAACTTTTTACACCTGGCCGAACATTACATACATCAGATAAACTACTTTTAAAGCCCAAAACTGTTCAATTAGTCTCTTATGATCAGCGCTCTTTTAGTTATCAAGCACCTGTTTTATGGAATAATCTACCATTTAGTTTAAGATGTTGTACATCTCTATATTCTTTTAAAAAACAACTTAAAACACATTTATTTAATCAGGCTTTTAACTGACTCTGTATACAATTGTTAACATGTCCATAATCGTGTTGTTTATTTATGATACTACCTCAAACTGTGAAACACGCGTCTTTAAGTTTTATCTTCAGAAAGGAGTTAGTAAAACTCGTTAAATCTTTGAACCCTTGTTAATTACTGTTGTCCTCTGAATGTATGTTTGTTTGCCTTTTTTTTTCTTTCTTTATTGTTTGTTTGCTTGTTTGATATTTCTTTATTATCATATAATATGATATATATGCACTTTGTAAATATTATTACTGTGTAGTTGCTATTTTATAGAGTAGGAGGGACATGTTGAAAATTAGAACTCATGTACTAAATATGTTCCCTCAGAAAATAAAGTCATTATTATTATTACATTGTAAAGTGCCCCTGAATATGAAAGGGTGCACTATAAATATGCTTTAATAATAATAATAATAATAATAATAATTCATGCCTTTCGTGTAACTGGACATGTACATACAACAGTTGAATCAATGACAGGTCTTATGGTTTCATGTATGCGCTCGTGTTAAACTAAATTTCGTTTTATCTTATATGGCTGAGTTCGTAGATTTGTGCATTACCCTATCAATGGCATCGGTCAAGTCATTTAGAAGACGGGGACGTGTTTTTAACAGCGTGTTGTATCGCTCATACTGGTTCTAGCGAGGTAAGCAAGGTCTTATTTTCTCACTAAGATGTTCATTTACAATTTTTAGGCGTTCACAGGGACTGACACGCGAGCATTTAGCAATAAAAAGTTGTCCAATAAGTGAAAAATTTTCGCCAAGGATTCAATAGGACGGTTCCTGAACGTACAGTGCGAGTGTAATGAGACCTATGTTCAGAGCTGAACTAGTGTTATACCTGCCAGAAAACACACAGACACCCTCTCCACAGCTAGGGTGACCCACCATAAATAAATATCTCCAAATATCTCGACAATTACGCCACAATATTTATATATATGCCAAGCCTCAAATCAGTTTCACACAATTATAGTCACTAAATAAACGATCATGTTGTACTTAATAAGCTATGACCTTTAATCATCTATAAATAATAGACTGAAAACTGGTTCCAAATGTCGTCCATAACATCCAGACACTTTTGAGTAAAAGATAGGTTACGTGCCCTTGTTTTGAAATTAGTCTCGGTTAACCAGTCTATCGACCATTCTACGTCTGATTGACAGGTCGGGATAATCAAGACTACTTTTTTACGAAACATAACAGAAAGCTAGAACAAGAAATTGAATTTAGAAATAAGCACGTTAGCTAGCTCAACAATTGTTTTAAGAAGCTTGTAAAAGTAAAATGAAACTACTGCTAGTATCATGTTCCTGTCTAACCCGAGTGTTTCAGAGATATTATTTGTACTAAACCAAAAGATGCCGCTCTTAACGGTACAGTTAATGATAAAGCGATTTAAAAAATGAAACGAACGTAATTTCTAAATCTGCTGTAATAACCAAGAAGCTTAATTTTACTGCTATTCAAAATTGTCAACAATAATTTTTTTGCGGCTGCAATAGTTGATAGATTTGGAGAGAATTGCACATGCCATGGCTATTTATAGTATCATACTGTCAGAAAGTTGGTCTCGACACGGCGAATGTGCACGCTTCAGTGGTAGTCTCGAACTATCAGCGGTGGACTGTATTTCTGTAGAGTGCATGGGTCACCCTACCACAGCATGGAATGGGGTTTAAACAGGGCATAATTTGCAAAGGAACCTCCGGCCTATAAAATAAGATGGCTCTGTGTTCATACACACCATATTGTCTGTATCCGTGAAGATTAAAATGGCGAATCCATAATAATCATACAATATTTCAAATAAGGCTATTGGTATTGTCTTCAAAAAAGCTTTGGTATTTGTCTTTAAATTCGTGGAAAAGAAAATTCCCTTGTTTCTTTCTTGAAATCACAATTATAGACCCTAATAAGGGCAGACATCTTTCTTTCTGGTATTTAGTTGTATACTTCCTATTGACGGTGATCACGCTAACCCGATTAATTCATAATTAGGTAAATCATAATTTTAATAGATTCTCTGGTCAGCATAAACACATCAACAATCAATTAAAACGACAAAAAAGTGAGATTCGTGAAATTAATATTTGTTTTATCATTGTCCTCTACGATAAAAATAACCGCCATTTCAATATGACTGTATGTTAGCCCTGGCATTACCTGGTTTGTGGAGGGGTCATGGTGGCTAAGTGGGTGAGACGCTGGCATTGGCCGAGAATGTTCATCCAGATTTTCCGGAGTGGTTCCCCCCCCCCTTGTCAGTGATGCCGGGTGGAGGGCCTGACAAGGACAGCTGTCTAGTCGTTCGGATGGAACGAAAAACCGAGGTCCTGTGTACACATTGGAATTCGATATAAGAGTAGGTTCTAGTGCCGCTGTCCGGGCAAAATTTCCCTCATAGCACACCGTATGGCGTATAATGCCTGTCTTCATTAGCCCAGTTCGGAGCAGAACAGTAGGACGTTAAACCCCATTTCATTTCATTTCATTTCATTTCATTTCACCTAGTTTGTGTCCAGTGGACGCTATGCTACATGTAGTCTTATAAAGAGATCAATTCTATCAAACAAATGTATGGTATGGCAATAAATAGAACTTATTTTCCAAATCATATTCAAGGTTTTTGGGTTTGACTGTTCAGCTCCCAATTGTCAGGGATGCAAGATTGGGATGGCCTGGCAAGAAACGGCATCTAGTTGTTCAAAACGGTATGAAATAAAAGTGCAGGTTTTAGCACAATTATGGCATATGCCCGTCTCCATTGGACCAATCGATGCAGATTGTAACCCATAACATCTTGTCTGATTTTGATGCCTGTCTGGTTTTATTAGAGAGTACATGATGAGGTCATCAACTTGCACTTATTACAAACAATTTTAGAAAATTAAACAAACAAGAACAAAAGTTCAACTCAGAATTTAGGACTAAAAAATACAATAGCCCCAAGATTATGCCAATTGTGAATTACTCGAGTTGGATGGATTCGATTCAAAGTTTTAAACGAATCTTGGAGCACGAGCAGACGTATTTTATTTCAAAATGGAGGACAGGAAGGGACAATGAAAAATACATTGATTGTGACTGAAATTGAATGCAGAAAAACACTGAATGTTTAATTTTGTTTGATGTTAATTAATTTTGAAGAATCAAAGAAATACAACTACGGCAGTTATTAATGCACGTGATTAATGGAAATGGTGAGTCTCATAAATTGAGACTGGGGATGATCGATTCGATTTCTTGTAAATTTACTAAATATAAAAAATTAAACCCATACCGACCTGCAATAGCCGAAATGGTCAACAATAGGTTATTTAGTAGGGGTCTAACTATCTAACCAATCACTAGTTGTATAAAAAAAGATATTGTGTTCTTGAATGTGTCCAATTTAACAGCGAATTTATTATTATTATGTAACATACTAAGAACCAAACTACATTTTTTGGGCACCAACCACCACCCCCCCCCCCCCAGTCAAAAATTTCCCCGTACGCCTATGCAAAAGGGATATAACTAATGTTATACACAAATCTACTTAAGTAGTACTTAATTAAGCCACCATTATTTCAACATTACATTTGGACACAAAAATGCAACGGTTTTAAATTTAAAATGACAATTTGGCATAAAGAACGGTGAATTAGAAATAATCGATATAAATGAGTTGAAATAATGGTGGATTTAGGTAAATCGTGCTACAGCAAACCAACGTGTATGATTTAGCAGTTTTCAGTAGGTTACGGTACTACTATAGAATGTCTCGGTCAATAATCTTAATGCTCGTCAAGGCCACCATTAATTTGTTAACGATAACCCATTCAGACATTAGAAACAATTTCCTTGATTAGTTTTATTTTCACCATTACAAAATTAGGCCTATACAACAAAAAAAGGAAAGAAAATAAAGCTGATCATGCTACAGTGTGTATTTCCCTGATCCTACTACATTTATATGCATATATCTTATTATATTACAGGAACCTGGTTGTGATGTCGAAACCTTGCATCAATGTGTTGTATGTGATGAGAATTTTCAACAATTCCTTGACCTAGAAAACCATAATAAAATACATGTAAAGAAAGAGAAAACACAACATGATAGCCTGAATCAAAAACATGTAACCATTAGAGAAGATAAATCTAACATTGTTGAGCCAGAGGAAAATTATCGTGTACATTTTAAATCAGAAAGAACTGATCATGATAAAAACTCTGTTTTACGTTTTAAGTCAGAAAAAAATGATCACAATGTAGCTGCTCATGAATGTAATTTGTGTGGTGAGATGTTTGAATTATACACTGATTTTGAAGAACATTGTAAAACTCATACTAATAAAGAAGAGCCTATACCAAGTACTTCACAGCAGTTTGCCTGCGAGTTGTGTGGTGAAATATTTCAATTTTTCACCGAGTTACACAAACACCGCAAAATACACAAAGAAGAACGTCGGAAAATGAAAGTTGCGGGCGGGAATCCTGTGACAAGTATTTCAAACAAATTTACAATTCTTAAGAAACTACTGAATAAGAACCCAGTGGAACCGACAATAGATATGGGAGAAATACCTTATAAATGCGATGTTTGCGGGGATTCTTTTTACACACGTTCCACTCTGATTAAACACAAAGAGACACATAACCGTATTAAGAAACATCACAAGTGTGACCTATGTGATAAAGCATTCAGTTGGAGACAGAATCTGAGAAGTGACAAGGCCACGCATACTGGTGATAAACCTCATACATGTGATTAATGTGATAATTCCTTCACGACGAAATCCAGTCTTACTCAACACATGCGTACACATTCTGGCCAGAAACCTTTCAAATGTGATGTTTGCAGTAGATCATTTGCCTGGAAGCAGAATCTTAAAAGTCATATGACGATTCATACCGGTGAAAAACCATTTTTTAAATGTGACCTTTGTAGTGAATCATATACAACAAAGAGAAGTCTCATTAAGCATGAACACTCGCACACGGGCACCGAGAGACCCTTTAAATGTGAAATTTGTTTCAAGTCCTTTGGTTGGAAACACAACCTCAAAGGTCATATGTCAATTCATACAGGGGAAAAAACGTATATTTGCGGTATATGTACTAAAACGTTTTATACGGCTAGCGAACTGAAGAGACACATCAAGACCCATACTGGAGAAATGTGGAATATGTCTCGCATCTTTTACGTCCAGTGGAAATGAAATGAAATGAAATGGAGTTTAACGTCCTACTGTTCTGCTCCTAACCTGGGCTAATGAAGACGGGCATACGCCATACAGTGTGCTATGAGGGAAATTTTGCCCGGACAGCGGCACTAGGGCCTACTCTTATATCGAATTCCAACTGCCAAGGGATCTTTTATGTGCACGCCAATGTGTACACGGGACCTCAGTTTTTCGTCCCATCCGAACGACTAGACAGCTTTCCTTGTCAGCCCCTCCGTCCTGCATCACTGACAAAGGAGAACCACACCGGAAAGTCTGGATGAACTTTCTCGGCCAATGCAGGGATCGAACACCCGACCTCCAGGCTAGCGAGCACGTCCAGTGGAAGTTTGAAGCTACATTTGAGCATTACTGAGCAGAAACCTTATAAATGTGAATTTTGTTGTCAATCTTTTTCTCTTATAGGCTATTTGAATTCCCACAGAACATATCATTCTAGTGAAAAGCCTGCAGTGAAACAAGAAACTGAAATGTCCTGAAATTAATGCTACTTGAAGTAGAGATGAGCGATATTCCTGGAATCAAATATCTCAATTTTTTATCAAATATCTAGATTACTGTTTATCACCCTTTAAGGGGGGTCATGGTGGTTAAGTGGGTAAGACGCTGGCTCGCTAGCCTGGAGGTCAGGTTTTCGATCCCGGCATTGGCCGAGAAAGTTCATCCAGATTTTCCAGCATGGTTTCCCCTTGTCAGTGATGCAGGACGGAGGACCGGACAAAGACAGCTAGCTGTCTAGTTGTTCGGATGGTACCAAGGTCCCGTGTAAAAATTGGCATGCACATAAAAGATCCCTTGACAGTTGGAATTCGATATAATAGTAGGCAGTAGTGCCACTGTCAGAGCAAAATTTCCCTCATAGCACACTGTATGGTGTATGCCCATCTTCATTAGCCCAGTTCGGAGCAACAGTAGGACGTTAAACCCCATTTGATTTCATTTCCTTTCAGTCACCCTTTAAGTGTGGTTTAATGGTTGAGAGCAAGACATTACATAACATATTAATAACGCACGAATGTTGTTTCAATATATTGTGCAATGTCTTGCAGTGGACGCTTACGGCTAGCCCCCGGATCCATTCACTTTTTTTAAATTGTTTGTCTGTTTGTGTTTTCATGAGTATGATGTCTTGTCCGTGTATTTGTTTTTGTGTAGATTTTGTGTGGTGCAGTCCCCCTGAACTTACTATTAAGTACAAGCTCATTAAACTACTTAAAATACATACACTATCCCGCACATGCTTTTTCAATGAAATATGTCACGCGAGTCCAATATTTCATCTAGTATAAATAATGTACGCTTGGCAGATGACGTCATATCTGTATTTTAACCATAAATAAACATGCATAAAAAGTTGGGCAAACACAATCCCCTTTGTATATTCATTGTCTCAAAACTAGCGATTTTTCCTGATCACAGACTGTCCTGACACATTGATAATCTGTGTATCAGTAGTCTTGCTAGCTAACATTATTTATATTTCTGTCTTATTGAATTTTTTTCAGTCAATGATTCTGTTGAAAAATGAAAACATCGGTTTATAGACAATTCGTCAAGATGCACAGAAAATTGAACAGGAGCTGCAACAATCTTTAAAATACAGTACCGATTGGTTGGAAAAGTGAGCAGGAAAAGTTACAGCAGATGATTTGTGGAATGAAAACTTGAAAGTTTATGACATTGTTTATTCTTTTTTATTCATCATTAAGCAATAAAATATTGCAAATAACACAAAAAGAAAGGCATGTTTTCACCATTTATTTTCTGCTAAATATCATCCAGAAAAATAAAAACCAAGGTGCGTCACACTAACTTTGTTTTTTTCGATATTTTTCTGAACTCAGTATTTTTTGACAGTTTATAATTCTGTGATGATTTTATATCGATAAAATGAAATATCGCCCAGCTCCAACTTGATGGACATCCTGAGGAGCTTCTTGCAATGTAATCACTCGAGGGACCACGTTTGTTTCTTTTAAGATAAGTTATGTAATAATGACTTTCCCTGTCATTTTTTTTTTTGTTCAGAATAATGAAGTAAAATCATTGAAATGTAGTCTTTATAGGACATTATAATTAGTTTTTTTGGTTAATTGAATCAATTTTAATATGAAATAATGACTTTTCCTTTCCTTTTTTTGAGAATAATGAAGTAAAATCATTGAAATATAGTCTTTATAGGACATTATGATTAGTTTTTTTGTTTAATATAATCATTTGTAATATTGTATAACCTGAAGCATTATGAATAAACCCCCACTCATTTCAGCTTAAAATTTGTTTTGTATTACTGGTGAGCAGTGATTTTATACGCCCAGATTGAAATGTGGTCATATAATGTTGTCATCCCCGTCTGTCTGTCCGTCCGTAGCTAAGTCTCTATCTCAGTATCATCCAAAGTCATATCTGTATTTTAACCATAAATAAACATGCATAAAAAGTTGGGCAAACACAATCCCCTTTGTATATTCATTGTCTCAAAACTAGCGATTTTTCCTGATCACAGACTGTCCTGACACATTGATAATCTGTGTATCAGTAGTCTTGCTAGCTAACATTATTTATATTTCTGTCTTATTGAATTTTTTTCAGTCAATGATTCTGTTGAAAAATGAAAACATCGGTTTATAGACAATTCGTCAAGATGCACAGAAAATTGAACAGGAGCTGCAACAATCTTTAAAATACAGTACCGATTGGTTGGAAAAGTGAGCAGGAAAAGTTACAGCAGATGATTTGTGGAATGAAAACTTGAAAGTTTATGACATTGTTTATTCTTTTTTATTCATCATTAAGCAATAAAATATTGCAAATAACACAAAAAGAAAGGCATGTTTTCACCATTTATTTTCTGCTAAATATCATCCAGAAAAATAAAAACCAAGGTGCGTCGCACTAACTTTGTTTTTTTCGATATTTTTCTGAACTCAGTATTTTTTGACAGTTTATAATTCTGTGATGATTTTATATCGATAAAATGAAATATCGCCCAGCTCCAACTTGATGGACATCCTGAGGAGCTTCTTGCAATGTAATCACTCGAGGGACCACGTTTGTTTCTTTTAAGATAAGTTATGTAATAATGACTTTCCCTGTCATTTTTTTTTTGTTCAGAATAATGAAGTAAAATCATTGAAATGTAGTCTTTATAGGACATTATAATTAGTTTTTTTGGTTAATTGAATCAATTTTAATATGAAATAATGACTTTTCCTTTCCTTTTTTTGAGAATAATGAAGTAAAATCATTGAAATGTAGTCTTTATAGGACATTATGATTAGTTTTTTTGTTTAATATAATCATTTGTAATATTGTATAACCTGAAGCATTATGAATAAACCCCCACTCATTTCAGCTTAAAATTTGTTTTGTATTACTGGTGAGCAGTGATTTTATACGCCCAGATTGAAATGTGGTCATATAATGTTGTCATCCCCGTCTGTCTGTCCGTCCGTAGCTAAGTCTCTATCTCAGTATCATCCAAAGTCTTCGACATTATTTGTCAATTTAAATCAACATTGATGTTGTGATTTTGCTGGGAAAAGATGGGCTTCTGATATCCAATATTTAAGACAAAATAAACATTTTACCATTGGTACACAAATCGTGTACCATAATGTGTTTCAGCACCATTTATAACAAGGGACTCAAAGAACGAGGCTAGACATATTCCACAAGTCATGTCAAATGGTGAAGCTACATTCTTATCTGGAGAGCATGCGCAATAAATATTATTAGTATAGACTGGAATAACCAGACACTAGAGATTGTCATTCGATTGAGACCTTGCTGTATTTCGTCAAACATAACTGATTTGAAAAAGTTACAGTAGAACTGAAACAATTTGATATAAATCAGTTTATATACATTCATATTACATTATTATAATTATATGAGTTGCAACATATCTGGGTCAATATCTGGTTCCCAAATATTAGCGATTTAGCTCCTTTAAAGTAAAAGTAGACATGTATTATTTGATTATTAGGGATTATTTAGCTATGTCGCTTATTTCAGTTGTGGTGTACGACTGGGGTCTAGTCGTTCGGATGCAACAAGAACCCTCGCCAGCAGAAGCGCCACTGTATGGGCTAAATCCCCCTTAGCATGCTAGCCTCTTATCATTCAGACATACATTCTATGAATATTAGTGTGGATGTGTTGTCAACATTTGAGGGGGTCACGGTGGCTAAGTGGGTAAGACACTGGCTCGCTAGCCTGGAGGTCGGGTGTTCGATCCCTGCACTGGTCGAGAAAGTTCATCCAGATTTTCTATCGTGGGTCCCCCTTGTCAGTGAAGCAGGACGGAGGGCCTGACAAGGACAGCTGTCTAGTTGTTCGTATAGGACAAAAAACCGAGGTCCTGTGTACCCGTTGGCATGCACATAAAAGATCTCTTGACAGTTGGAATTTGATGTAAGAGTAGGCCATAGTGCCGCTGTCCAGGCAAGATTTTGCTCACAGCACACTGTATGGCGTATGCCCGTCTTCATTAGCCCAGTTTGGAGCAGACCAGGAGGATGTTAAACCCCATTTCATTTCATCTGAGAATAACTAGGTCATGAACTAGCACAGATTATCCAGTCATTTTACATTACCGAGTATCCAACCCCCCATTTTCATTGATATTATATGTTAATCAACAAGTGGGAAGTTGGATGGCCGAATGGTTAGCTCTTGCGCGCTGTATCATAAGGCCTGTCATTGAGTCAACTGGCGTGGTTTTGAATCATTGATTGTACGTGACAAGGAGTAAGGTCGCCTGTCCAACTTTGTTGGTTTTCTCCAGGTCCTCTGGTTTCCTCCCACTGCTAAAGACTTCTACACGCACGCAAATTATTATTGAAATAAAATTAAACCATATGTTGGTTCCAAAATGAACTAGTTCGTGTCGAGTGGATGTTAAACCCCATTAGTAGTGAGTGTTGTTTGTTTGGTAGCTGGATAATATGGAAAAGTTGGGTCTGGCTTTGAGCCCATTTGATGCCCACTCCCACCCATTAACTGAGCCTCCAGACTAGTTGGATAAGATGTGATTCGTTTAGCATCAGTTACATCACTGGTAATCATGTGACCTTTATAAAAACCCTCGGGTACATTAGTATTAGAAATGAGAGAGAGAGAGAGAGAGAGAAATGGGGTTTAACGTCCACTCGACACAAACTAGGTCATTTCGGGACTAACATGGTTTAATTTTATTTACACAATTCGCTTGCGCGTAGTGGTCTTTAGCAGTGGGAGGAAACCGGAGGACCCAGAGAAAACCCACGAGGTTGGACAGGCGACCCTACTCCTTGCCACGTACAACCGGGGATTCGAAACCACGCCAGTCGACTCAATGACAGTATTAGAAATGATCTTACAATGATCGGAACTCTGTAGCATTGGGACACATTTCATATTCGACATCAACATAGGTGCTGCCTTGGTTAAATTGTGCTGACTACATGTATTTTGTGATTTGAAAAATTAAAAGTTGAAGTTATTGGGGAAATTGGGTAATTCGGCGCAGTAGGACGTGAAACACCATTTCATTTCATTTCGACAATTCTAAGCAATCGATCAAAATGTGAATTAGTCGCGTTGACTAGATCCTATTCCAGTTAGTATATACAACATTATATGCGCATGCGCGTAAACTCCTGATTAAAATTAACCATGGTTGCTGTTTGTCATTGGTTGTGCTGTGCTAAACCGTCAGCAGTTAGTTACACAATGGAATTGGTTTAGTTTGTAGATTTAGAAACAGGGCATGCCAAAGAATAAGTGTTTTATAAAAATGATGGAAATGGTACGAAATCGTAGAATTTTTGATTTTGTGAATAGGTGCTTTTTACTTTTAGGGGTTTTCCCTTTGAGTTTGACGTCATTTTCCGTCATGCGCTGTGTCCAAACAGACAACCCTGGCCAAAGATCATTTGGAATTAGTCCACTTATAATAAGGTCCATGTGCAAGCAAATTATTGAAATGAAATTGAACCACATGTTAGTCCCGAAAATGACTTAGTTGGTGTTGAGTGGACGTTAAACCCCATTTCTCTCTTTATCTCTCGACCATCCCAATCAGTGATAAAATTATTTTAAATTGTTGTTTGATCTGTTCCAGAAAAGTAGAACATTAAACTCCATTTTCCTTTCACTTATATTTTCTTAATTACAGGAAACTAACGAGGTTAAAACTTTACATCAGTGTGCTCAGTGCGATGAAATTTTTGATGAGTACAGTGACCTAGAAGTCCACAATAGAATACATGTTAAAATGGAGAAATCGGGTCATCAGTGTAGTGTATGTGACAAAATTTTTAAAACTTTAAATGATTTACAAAACCACAACAAACTACATCTAAAAAAAGAGAAAACTGAAGATGTTGCGAGTTTTCATCATTGTACCAAAGCACATGTTAAGGAAGGTGAAACAAAGGATTTGAAAAACTTTCATCAGTGTAGTTTGTGTGGTGAAATGTTTGAATTATACACCGACTTAGAAGAACATTGTAAAATACATGTTAAAGAAGAGAAAACTGATGATGTTGACTTCGAAAAAGCTTGTCCAGCAGACTTTGAAGAGATGATAACTGATGCACAAAATCATGTTAAAGTTAAAGAAGAGAAAATTTATGCTGAAAATTGTAAAGTACATTTTGCCGAGGTAACAACTGATATCAAAAATGATGTTAAAGAAGAGAAAACTGATGATGTAAAAGCCATACATCAATGTAAACTGTGTTACGAAAAATTTGAATTATACACAGATTTAGTGGAACATTGTGAAATGCATATTAAAGAAGAGGACTCTATAGCGAGTACATCACATCAATGTACAAGTTGTAAAAAGAAATTCACACAATACAGTGAACTAGAGAAACACAGATGTACATGTACCAATAGAAACTTACAGATGAGTGGTGAGAGTCAAAATACCAATATTGTTGCTTCCCAAAATATTTTAGTATTAAACAACAAACTTCTACGGCCAAACTTTCATTTGGAGACTGCAAATAATTCCCCTAAATCCTCCCACACGGAAAATCGTCAGTTCTATCAAAGTAACATCTGTACGAAAGAATTCAACCAAGGCGCTCCTGTACAATCACATATGAAGACTCATGTACCAAATACGGTTAACGATGAAACCATGGAAACAAGATGGGATTCATTAATGTATAAATGTCATATCTGTGGGGAGATATTCCGTTCAAGTTCAAATCTCACCGACCACCTGAAGCTTCATTCTTTAGAGAAAAAACATAAATGCCATATTTGCAGTAGTTCATACTCTAAGAAGTATCATTTGTCACAACATATTTTGAAAGCCCATTCATCTAAATTGAAAACGTACAAATGTCACTGCAACGCTGAGTTTAGTTCTACTTTCGATTTGAAAGAACATGTGCAAACACACACATGTACAGATGAGAAACCCTTTAGATGTGAGGAATGTGGAAAGATATATTCACGCAAATATAAACTGGTCGTTCACATGAAATCCCATCGCACAGAAAAACTGTACACATGTGAAATTTGTTCAAAATCATTTACTGGAGACATAGAACTGAAGAGGCATGTCAAAATTCATGAATTTAATCCAGGGAACTCTTCGAAATCTGTGGATTTCGACGAATTAATTGATAAACCTGTGCAACCACAAGTTGCAGGTCTTAACGGTCAGATGGCAAATAGCGGTAATTTTTTTAATTTTAAACTCCAGTTAAACAATACCAGACCGGGCAACACAGCTACACAGACAGGGCAACTGTCTTTTACGGACAAACCATTTAAGTGTTTTGTATGCAGCAAGACCTTTCCCTTAAAAACGGGACTCGAAACACATATAAAGGTGCATAAGAAAAAAAAATGTGATGTTTGTGGTAGATCTTTTCGCGATAAACGTGCTATGGATATTCACATATGTTCGTATAAACGGGGAAGAAGTAATTTTAAATGTGATATTTGTTGTGTAACGTTTCCCTTTAAACAAAGTCTAAAAACTCACATGGAAAGTCATGGGATTTTTAAATGTGATTTTTGCAGTCAATCATTTCCATCAAGCAGTGATTTACAGGAGCACAGAATAATTCATTCTCAGGAAAAGTCTTATAAATGTGATGTTTGTAGTAAATCATTTCCATCAAGCAATGATTTACAGCAGCACGGCATGACTCATTCTAAGAAAAACGCCTTTTAAATGCAATGTTTGCAGTGAATCATTCAAATCACGGTTCGATTTAGACGAACACAGTATGAGTCATTCTAAGAAAAACGCCTTTTAAATGCAATGTTTGTAGTAAATCATTTCCATCAAGCAATGATTTACAGCAGCACGGCATGACTCATTCTAAGAAAAACGCCTTTTAAATGCAATGTTTGCAGTGAATCATTCAAATCACGGATCGATTTAGACGAACACAGTATGAGTCATTCTAAGAAAAACGCCTTTTAAATGCAATGTTTGCAGTGAATCATTCAAATCACGGATCGATTTAGACGAACACAGTATGAGTCATTCTAAGAAAAACGCCTTTTAAATGCAATGTTTGCAGTGAATCATTCAAATCACGGATCGATTTAGACGAACACAGTATGAGTCATTCTAAGAAAAACGCCTTTTAAATGCAATGTTTGCAGTGAATCATTCAAATCACGGATCGATTTAGACGAACACAGTATGAGTCATTCGAAGGAATACCCTTTTAAATGTTACAGAAATGTTTGCAGTAAAACAGTTTAGTGTTGATTTAACAGAAAACAGGGAAACGCCTTTTAAATGTGATGGTTGCAGTAAATCATTTTCATCAACCAGGGCCCTTATTGACAAAAACTTAAACTAAGATACAATCGAAATTTTAAGAAATACTGCAATTCGATTGGCTGACCAATATGCAGATTTGATATATGCAAATTGATTTTACTGGTCAGCCAATCGAATTGCAGTATTTCTTAAAATTTCGATTGTATCTTAGTTTAAGTTTTCGTGAATAAGGGCCCAGTATTTCCAGTACTCAACTCGCGACTTGAAAGAGCTAAGGAGTCACAGTGAGGAGACGTATGTAATTTGTTAAGTTGCCTTATTCACGATAATTGCTGACTAATTTGATGAACTGGCAACATGACAGAAAGTGGGCTTTGCGAATTCTTGGGACTTGACATGGTACTAAAGTCAGCAACAGGCACTCGACTCGGAACTAAAGTCACCAACTTGGGACTCAATGTATAATTGATTTAATATACATAAAAGGTTTAGCTCACTCTTAATAATTATGATTGTTGATACGAATGTTCATACAATTGTTGATATGATTATTGATTGTTCATACAGTTGTTCATACAAATGTTCATACAATTGTTGATATAATTGTTGATATAATTGTTCATACAGTTGTTCATACGATTGTTCATACAATTGTTGATATAATTGTTCATTGTTGATACGATTGTTGATATAATTGTTCATACGATTGTTGATATAATTGTTGATATATTGTTGATACGATTGTTGATATAATTGTTCATACGATTGTTGATACGATTGTTGATATAATTGTTGATATGATTGTTGATACGATTGTTGATACAATTGTTGATACGATTGTTGATACAATTGTTGATACGATTGTTGATAGGATTGTTGATTGTTGGTACAATAATTGTTGAGATAAATATTGATCCTATTATTGATATGATTGTTCATACAATTATTAATTGTTCATATGATTGTTGATTGATATTTATTATATTGATACATTGTATATAGGCCTACATGTATATATTTATTATATTGATACATTGTATATAGGCCTAGGCCTACATGTATATTAACAAAAATAATTTAGAATTGTAGTATTTTTATTTTTTAAATTTTAGAAAATAAAGACCCCCATACATTGTTTCAATGTCATTTAGTAATTAAACTGGTATATACAGGTCACAGTTCTATAAAATACAGTTACGGCTTATTACTGAGCGAAGTTCGACTTAACGTCTTATTAGTCTTTATCAGGGATCATGTGGCTAAGTGGGTAAAAAGCTGGCTCGCTAGCCTGGAGGTTGGTTGTTTGATCCCTGCATTGGCCGAGAAAGTTCATCCAGATTTTACGGCGTGATTTCCCCTTATCAGTGATGCAGGACGGAGGGCTTGGCAATGACAGCTGTCTAGTCGTTCAAATGGGATGAAAAACCGAGGTCCCGTGTACACATTGGCGTGCACGTAAAAGATCCCTTGGCAGTTGGAATTCGATATAAGAGTAGGCTGTAGTGCCACTGTCCGGCCAAATTTCCCTCATAGCACACTGTATGGTGTATGCCTGTCTTCATTAGCCCAGTTCGGAGTTAAAAAAAAGGTCGTTAAACCTCATTTCATTTCATTTTCGTTTAGTCCAGAGCGTACACTTTAGATAATGAGGTCTGCAATTGAGTCATCAAGTGGCATGTTTTCGATTGTCGACTTGCATGCAACAAGAAGTAGGCTTTTTTACTGTTTGCTCCCACTACTAAAGGAAGACCCCCCCCGCACCACACAAGCAAATTATTGGAATAAAATTGACCCATGTGTTAGTCCCAAAATGACCTGTCACATGGACACGTTAAACTGCATTTATTTCTCTCTTTCTTTAATTGCAAACACGTACAATTACTTGTCATTGAAATCTCAGAGGCCTCGTGTCTGCGGCGATCTTATACAACTGGCCCTGCTGAGATTGATCTAAAGTCAAAGGAATCTCAAGACGATCATGTGATCAGTACCGCTAGCTCGCTAGCCTGGAGGTCGGGTGTTCGATCCCTGCATTGGCCGAGAAAGTTCATCCAGATTTTCCGGCGTGGTTCTCCCTTGTCAGTGATGCAGGACGGAGGGGCTGACAAGGAAAGCTGTCTAGTCGTTCGGATGGGACGAAAAACCGAGGTCCCGTGTACACAATGGCGTGCACTTAAAAGATCCCTTGGCAGTTGGAATTCGATATAAGAGTAGGCCATAGTGCCGCTGTCCGGGCAAAATTTCCCTCATTGCACACTGTATGGCGTATGCCCGTCTTCATTAGCCCAGGTTAGGAGCAGAACAGTAGGACGTTAAACTCCATTTCATTTCATTTCATTTTTGTGATCAGTACAAAATGGCCATGGGTATCATTTAAAGCTACCAATAAATTTCTTTATCTATTTCTGCTATTGCACGGTATTATCCATGGTATTAACTTTTGTTGTCCAAACGCCCTTCGATAACGCCATTATGTACACAAATGGTGTAATAGAAACCTGATGGAAACTATGACATGCTTCAACATTGACTCAAAACTAATTGCATCCAGTTCCATCACCGTTCATACATCTTGAAGTAATTGCAACTAATAGAGAATCTCTGGGTTTTTTACTTTATCGACGAGTGTTGATATTTTTTGATATAAAAAAAGACTCGTATGAGATTGTATTTATCTCTCAATCCTTTCTTACATGCACAAATAAATAAATATAATTCCTTGCTATAGATTTCGCTTTTACTGAACCTGATTTCATCAAAGTCAATTAAATAAAAATAGTTCCATTTTAATAAAAAAAAAAGTTACTTTTAATAAGAAATGAACTGTTCTTTGAAAATAAAAAAAGTAGTTTCCTTTTAACTGACCAATTAAATTCATGTAACTAGAACTGCGAAGCAGTAATGACGGGTTTCACCGGTGCCACGTTACCCTAAACATATGTAACTTCCGGTACCAACCATTTTCTGGTATCTGTATGATCGTATGTGTTCAATCTATTTGTTGATTGGAATCAAATATCATAATTTTAAAAACATTACAAATAAGACTCATTTGAATAAAATATCTGTTTTGAAGGCAAAAAATACAGTTTTTGCCAAAATGACGTTACTTCCGGTGATAATGAAAATCATAAATTACCGTACTTGTATGAAATCGTAAATGGCATTAGGTATCACACAGTGAAATTTTTTATGAAAATTGAATAATAATTGACACATTTATGGACCAAAAACCTTGAAAAGTGACCTGTTGAAAATCGCCTATTTCTCCGTAATCGAACAAGTTAGAAACCATTTTGTGATATCTATATGATCGTATGGGTTCATTCTATTAGTTGATTGGAATGAAATATCCAAATTTTAAACAAATAACAAATACGACTCATCTGAATAAATTATTTGTTTCGAAAGCTATAAATATAGTTTTTGCCCAAATTACGTCATTTCCGGTGATATTGAAAATGTTAAATTGGTTTGTCCTAGTCACAATTGACATTTCGCATCAAATGGTATCATTTTTATGAAAATCCAATAATAATTGACTCTTTTACAGGCAAACTAGCGTAAAAAGTGACACTTGCAAAATTGACCATTTCTCGGCAACTGCTCATATTACAAACTAATTTTGAGATAGATTCTCTTCGTATGAATTAATGCTACAAGTTTATGAAAGTCACAAAGAAATATTTTAAAATATGAAACGCCTGAATGGGTTGTAAATAGCTCAATTTTACACCGTTTTTCACCTTTAAATCGAAACGGCGCAAAAATGAAATCGAAATTAAAAAAACTGCTTCCGACTTTTTTTGCGCCTTTACATGGCGCATCTTCTTACTTTTTACTTATTTTAAAAAAATAATATTTGCTTGCGAAAAGACGTACCTAACCGCCAAAATTGTAGTTTTGGTCAAAATTACGTCATTTCCGCTGCTGACAGAAAACTTTATCGGTAATAAAAAAGTTGAGACTTTGCACCATTGAGCATATGAACTTTGTTTTATACAAATCGAGCAATAAATAATTAACCTAGAACCCATAAACTGAATTAGCCAATAGCGGCCAAGGTGAATTATCGAGACAAAAATTGTTCAAATTTTTGCTCAAATCACATGTCCCTTTAATTATGGGTAAAGCGCCATAAAAACATATTCATAAATAAAAAAGTTTTTTGTCAAAATTAAAATTTTCAAAATTTGACGCCTAATATCTTCGAAGATTAATCGAAAATCAAAAATCTAAACAATCGTAGCTATTTGCCGTGTCTCAGGCTATGTCAAAATGTATCAAATGTTTAAATCCGACAATTATTGTTAATATTACGGCAATATTTCAAAAAACGAAAACTTCGGTTATTTCGGACATTTCGCATTGTCACAGAAAGTTCGAAATAGCTTTAATCTCTAAGTTACACCCACTTTCCCAGTAAAACCGAAGACATCGAGTTGATCCGACAAATAGTTTCTGAGATATGCTCTAGTGGAAAAAAAAAATAATAATAAGAATAATAATCTTAACAAAATAAGTGTGAAACCCTAATTATGAAATTTATCACACAAGCGATATCTACTGTAGAATGTATTATTGGGTGATAAAACCCAATCATATTGACCTCCACTTCATTTCACTTTGCTGGTCATATCCCTCCCCATGAAATAGTATTCTCTACCGTACTGTTGTCAGCCATTTTGAAATAAAAGTAAATGAGATTTATTTAACGTTGTAATGTTCTGCACCGATTAGGTTAATGAAGATACCAGAGACGTAGCCGTGAAATATATATTGTGGGGGGGGGGGGGCAAAACCCTAACCCCTAACCCCAACGCCGGATTAACCATGGTGGGGGCCCTGGGACCTGGAACATGTGGGGGCCCCTGATCAACGACCGCGAGCGCCGAAGACGCGAAGATCCGTAAGGGGGGTCTCGGGGGTGGGGGGGGGGGGTCTCCCCCCTTTGACATTTTCAGAAATTGGAGGAATTCCCGAGAAATTCCAGCCCGACGCCTCTCGGTCGCATCTCTCTCAAATTTCGAGACGGGGCACTCTTGGCCGTCTCTTTTCCCCCGGTCCGTCATTTCGTTCGCACAAGTCCCACACCGATTGCGTGTAGACACGGGTAAAAATTCGCCCCCTTCTTCTCTTTCTTCTTCTTCTTCTTCTTCTGGGGGGTTGGATGGCTGAATGGTTAGCACGTGCGCGCGCTGTACCATAAAGTCTGTCATTGAGTCAACTGGCGTGTTTTCGAATCCCCGGTTGTACGTGGCAAGGAGTAGGGTCGCCTGTCCATCCTCGTGGGTTTTCTCCGGGTCCTCCGGTTTCCTCCCACTGCTAAAGACCCCTACGAGCAAGCGAATTATTGAAATAAAATTAAACCATGTGTTAGTCCCGAAATGACCTAGTTTGTGTCGAGTGAACGTTAAACCCCATTTCTCTCTCTCTTCTGGAATTAGACAGGTTTATTAAAGGAGATGACAGCGGGTAAACTACCTAGTTGACGAAACCAGGTCCGTCAATTCATATCAGCACAACAGCATATATTTTCTTCCTTCAAAACGGCCTAATTGTTGGGTACAAAATTTGTGAAATGTGAAATCAACCCAATTTGAACTATAATCCGCTAAGAAACATTCGGCCAACCCAATCCCAGTCTAATTATGATTTATAGACAGGGGCGGATCTAGGAATTTTGAAAGGGGGGGGGCAAAATGAGGGCACTGACCGCGGAGACGGGGCACGCCGCTGAGACGGGATTTTTTTTTTTCGGGGGGGGGGGGGCAAGAAAATTATCTGCAGCCATTCCAAGAGCTATTTGGCTGATATTTTCGTCTAAGTAAACGTTCGGAAATCGTTGAAAAAGAGCCTTAAAATCGAGCAAAAAAGCCAGTTGAACATGCGACTCGAAAATTGTCAAGGCGAGCGAGGCATTATGATGGGAAAAAAGACGAATCTATTCCCTAGCCACTTCACTATTTAAGCCTCGTAACTGTCCACACATGAAAAAATGCTACATCAAGTGGGGATCGCGTGGCTAAGTGGGTAAGACGCTGGCTCGCTAGTCTGGAGGTCGGTTGTTCGATCCCTGCATTGGCCGAGAAAGTTCATCCAGATTTTCCGGCGTGGTTCC